CTTCACCTGCTTACAATTTGTCCGAGACCCTGATGAGAAATCACCAAACACAGGAATGTTTAGTAAAGAAGTGAGAAAAGACTTAACTTGCTTTCTATAATCCTATCCTATATTTTGCATTTGCATTTCCTTTTTTTTTAATTTGTTACTTCTTTTTAGGATAAAGACTTCTGCATCATCACAGTGCCACATATGGTCCCTGAATTTCACCTGATTCAGAGTTTTGTTAGGATTATTCCCTTTAGCAATTGTACACTGGATCAGGAGCTATATGTATTTCATCGTTCTGGATTGCTCAAGTTAGTAATACATTTTGCTCTCACAACTATTTTCATATAAAATGTTTGTTTGGAAATTAAGGTGGCAGCCTTGACCAGGAGAGCCTTTCTGCAGATTCACCTGGTACACCTGGTGTGCCATCCCCTACAATGGGAAGCCTTTAGGCAGTCACTCATGCTCTTGTCACCTATCAATGAATTACTACGATGCAGAGGCTGCCTCTGAAGACCACTTGGAAGTTAGCATTTGTCCAAAGCACAGCCACACAGACAGTAGACATGCCACATTATATCCAAGTGTCATCCTTGTTTCAGGAACTGCACTAGTTATCAATTCATTCCTGAATGCAATTCAAAGTGCTAATTATCACCTAGTCAAGCCTTACAAGGCATTGGCCCATGCTATATAAGGACTAAAATGTAGATTTGTTAAACTGTAATGGACCATCATATTGTTGGATTGAATGGAGCGTATTGAATCATCAGTTTTGCATACTCAGGGTAGAAGCATATCTGGACTGGGAATAACTTTAGAATATGAGTGTATCTGAACAGATATTCTTCCAATATTATGTTCCATCCTATACATAGGTTTGAATACCTATTTAAATGTCACAGAAGAGCCATTTTCCAAATACCGCTCACAAAATAGCAAACAAACAAAAATAATGTTAAACTAAATGTTAAAACACCAGCATAAAACATAAAACCTTAAAACAGCTAAACCACATTAAACAAACAATATTTTAGCTGTTGCTAAATATTGTTTTCATAGGCTCAGTCCAGTTATCCCTTCACAGAAAGATTGCATACTTTAAACACAGTATACTTTTACGCAAACTAACAATACGAAAGCATTGTTGAAGTGATTTGGTATGAATGAGAAAAAACAGGACCATCGCTTTTCATCTGAAGTCTTTCAAACTAAAATATAATTTCTGAAGAAAATTTCCATGGATGTGCATGGAAAACTGAGCAGTAGTGGAAAAATCTGAGTATAAAAAGCTAGTGCTAATAATTCCTTCCTGATGAAGATATATAAAAAGCAAAGATCAATGCAATGTGTTTGCACTGTGAAGGTTTAAAAGACATGTGAATAGAAAGTGAGTTACTGAAAATGGATAAAAGCAAAACAGCATGGGGGAATGGGGGGAGAACGAGAACTGGAAGTACAAACTCACAAAGATAAAGGGAAAGGCTCCAAATGAAAAATTGATTGGCAAAGGTTGTAAAAAAGGAAAAGCTTTGTACAATAATCAGAAGATGGCAAATGCAATCCCAGGTTTGCAACTTAAGAGGGAGGGCTGGAAAATAATAATACAACAAGGTGTAGCCTGAAATGCTTAATGGATACTTCTCTTCAATTTTGAATGCAAAGCACAATAATAATGATGCCCTTACATCTGGACAGTCAAGTGATTAAGGCTTCTAAAATGAGTTAATTCTTTCCTGTGAGCAAAATGAGCACGTACAGACTAAGATAGTTTCCTCCCACTTCGTTATTTTTTTTAAAAGTGGCCTATTTTTTTAGGGGTTATTTAACCCATTTTGTTTCTTGTAATTAATTACATATGTAAAAGCTTTTTTATATTATTAATACATATATGCAAGACATAGAAGCAAACTGCACTGCTTGGCATCTAGAAAAATAGGACGAGAAAAATCTAAATTCACTACAAAATGGATTTTGTATTATTCTAAGAGTAAAGTCTTATTTTCTTTTAGAAAAGTACCCATGTTTCAAACATACTCTCTTTTCAGCTCTTTGTGCAACTTGTTTGTGAATAGTAAAAGGAAATAGTCCTGAAAAACAGCAGCAAGATGAAAACAGACTGAATAATTTTGTAAAATTAGTAGTTTTGTATTGTCAGCTAATAGGAGTTTTCTATCTCTGCTGGCAAGGATTCAGATGGAAATTGAATGAAATATTAGAAAAGGTACAGATAGTAGGCTGATGAAAATCTGTAGTGTTGATGTGCACTGAGATGTAATATGTTTAAATTCCCTGTGAACAAACACTGCAATGGGTTCTCAAACCAACTTTAATATGAAAACCCTGTATCATAATTTGTGTTCCCCTCCTTCCCATCTTTTAACTGTAGTTATTTAATTGTTGTCATTTATTGTTTTATCATTTTAATGTCTGGTGATTTTAATATTTGTTAGTCGCCCAGAGTTGCCTCTGTATGAGATGGGAAGCATATGAATCAAAATAAATAAATAAACCATTTTTCCTTTTTTCTTTATAGAAATCATTACCATAAGTTCATTATATATCATGATTGCCTATTCAAGTCTGGGATCTGAAACATTAAACATTAGTAGATATCATTGTTGGAATTAGTTTTGTTTTTAACAGGTCTTTTCGTGTAAGAGCAGCAAAATCTACTGATGTCTTTGCCATTAAAAGGCTAATCCAAACCCTGGAATTGAACGTAGCCATATTGGATGACCTAAATAACTACTTATCAGCACGAAGAGATCCAGTAAGTGCTATAATAGTACTGGGGGGAGGGAGGTAATAATGAATGGATTTTATTGTATTTATTTGTAATTCACTTAATAATAGAAATATAGATTGTAGAGTATAAAGTAATTAACTCTTTCTTTAAAAAAGAAACATTATGATATGAATTAATAAATCAGATTGAATAGAAAACAGTAAGATGCCTTGGAGAACAAGAATGTCAATGGCTGCACTAAAAATACATTAATGTATTTGGGCTCTTGAAAGAAAAGCTGGATAGAAATCCAATCAGCCAGTCAATATTTTCTGAATTAGTAGACGAAAAAAATTGGTACCAACTTGATTGTTTTTTTTCAGGATGGGACACCAGTTCAGGCATTTGTAGCAGAGGTTTTGAATCAAATTGTTGGAATATCTGTTATTAGAAATGAAATGGTATGTATTCATATTTGCAATTATTATTATTGATTGGAAAATCCCATTCCTTTTAAATATCCATGCAACCTCATCATATTTACATTCACCAGCTTCCTGTTTTTATACACACATATATACAACCTGCAGATAATGCTGCAGAAGAATATATATATTTGTTTAAATTAAATTCACATAGTCTGGATCCTAATTTCCCTCTTACTGCAAGGAGAAATCTGAGGAGAAAAGAAAAAGAATTTTCAAATGAATGTTTTTCTTAATAGTGGCATATCTTTTTATGCAGGCAGAAGGATGTAGTATTGATGCAGAGATTCAGAATTCCTCCTTAACTACTTCCTGAATTGTTTTCCAGGATATCGAATATATTCGCTCACATTACAACATTGAAGATTTTATCTATTTCAGTCATTACCAGCAGGAAGAACATGGCCACCTTTACCATTTTTCTATCAATCCAATTTTTCATCATTATGCCAAACATTTTATGAAGGAGATACTTCGGTTAGCCTACAAATCTTGCCTCTATTATCCTATTTATCCCCAGCCTGAAGAAGGCAAGGTAAACTGCAAGTTTTTTAAAAATTAATTTTATTTTGTAATTGTGTCTTCACTTTGTTGTGTCAATGTACAAAAACATAATATATGCATTTCTAGTGTGAGCTATATTCATGAAATGGATAAAAGAAAGAATAATGACTTTTAATCAATTATGATAAAATAAAAACTGCAAGAAAAACTGCAAGCAATTTGCTATAAAATAAGTATACAAAGCTGCTACATTTGCATTGTAACATTCTTAAAATGCATCTAAGAATTAATATTTGATTGGAGGGAGAGATTCATTAAAATGTACTCCCTCCATTTGTATTTATTATCTTTTTTTGTTGTTAGTAGGAAAATTGAGAAATACTTTAAAAGGTTGTTCAGCTCTTATGTAGAAACCCCCTGGAATTTACTTCAAAACATATTCAAGACTGTGCTGTTAAGTGTCCTTTCTACAAGGAAAATAGCAGTATCAGCATAGATTAGGATCTAAAGAAGCTCAGATAGAACTTATTATTAATTCAAGATAAAAACAGTACACAATAAACATCTAACCCTAATCTGAAACAGAGATAACCCAAAAGCTTTCATAAACATGAGAGTTAAGCCCAGAGATTCTATAAGGCAGTGATGGCGAACCTTTTGCCCAAACTGCAACCCAAAACCCACTTATTTATCACAAAGTGCCAGGGCCGCATCAGCATCAGCCAGGGTCGCATCAGCATTGTGGTGCCCTCGGGGGGGGGGCAGGGAGGCACCTCTGAGTGCCGCCTCTGGCACGCAAAAACCAGGGGCACCGTGCTGCAAGGCGTAAAAATGACTGCTGCCGCACCGCAGGGTACAGATACAAGGCGCTGCACCACGCAAGAACGGGGCAGGGCTAGTGAGTTTCACACAGGCACTAGCCCCACCCCATTTGCAGCGCATGCGTGCTCGTGGCCCCATGTGCGCATGCACACATGTAAAATGCTTCCCCCTCCCTTTTCTTCCAGCCACCAATTGACAATGGTTGGTGACCTCTGCTCTACCACCTCTACTCGAGCTTGCTAGTCGGCCACTTCGCCTCCTTTGTGCTGGGCAGGGCTCCTGCTCTGAGCGGCGGTGGTGGCCTGATGGACCTGCTGCTGCTGGTGGTGGCGCGTGTGCCAACAGAGAGGGCTCTGAGTGCCGCCTCTGGCACCCGTGCCATAGGTTCGCCACCACTGCTATAAGGCAATAACAATTTAACACAATTTTGGTAATTTTTGAAGATCTTCATTAAGGAACTGAGAATATGTAGTGGACAACTTCCATTTTTGATCAGCCAGCACAGCAGATTTGAAGTGGAGATAGGAGGACTCTCTGCCAATTATAATAAATGTCCAGAGTCATTCACTGCAAGATGAGTGGCAAAGAAACAGCTAACATAATGAATATTATATCCTGCCTGGATCAGGCAGACAGGTTGCTTATATTTCTTCACCTTGAGCTGAAATTTCAATGCTGCGTTGCTTTAAATTCTGAAGGTGTGATTCCCTAATCCTTAGGAGCAGGTTGAAAAGTTAAAACAAAACAAAAAAAAGCTTTAGTGAATGCACAGAAAGATTTTGGAAATACTCTAGATGTTTTATTTACATTATTGCTGTATTAATTATTATAGTTTTCCTATGGTATACAAAGTCTGTAATTGGATTCATTGCAATTCAATCAGTCCTATTTTGTATTTATTTAAGCATAAGAATATTTCTTAGTGTTTATGCTATTTCATTAGCATTTGTCATTTATCATTTTAATGAAAAGATCATTTATCTGTTTTGTAAAATAAGCAAAGGTTAAGAGTATGCATGTATCATCGCTTAATAAGGTTGGATGAAGAAGACTTGTGATTGCTGTAAAGAAAAATATTCCTCTGGGGGAAGCTTCTTGTGCTGCAAAATCCCATAAACCAAACCACTTGTTTATCTGTCATTCCCAGTGAGATAGTAATATAATTACTCTCATAATTATCTTCATTAGGATAGGGAATTAACTGCAACCGATTCCTCTACTATGTGAGTGATTATTTTATTTTTGAGGGAGGGGGAGGTACTATTCTGGGTTTTAATCAAAGGGATAAAGGATTATTATATTCACAAAGCAGAGACATCTGTGATGCACTCTTCTGACATTCTGTGTGCTAAAATATAGCTTGTTGTCCTTCAGTTCCAGAATCCCTGTGCCCATTCCCTGACATCTGCCCTACATTACATGGTTCCCGTGCGACCAAGACGACAGATTGTCTATCCTCTGGAAAAGCTTGGCATAAATGCTCCATCAAAACAAGTCTCTAAGGATCAGGTGGGTAACTAAAGCAGAAGCAAGCAAAAGGCATAGTTCCAGCTAAATGTAGAATTTGGCAGATGGGATGACATTACTGCCTTAATGCTGTTGGGCTGCTTCTTAATTACCTTGAACCTCATGTTCATGCCCTTACACTTCACAGTCAGCTGTATCTTTTTCTATAAATTCCATTAAAAAAATACAACTACAGGCTGCAGGTTTTCTATTATTAGAATTTGATAGAGAATAATTTTATTATATTAAAATAAGCAAAGTTGCATTATGGAACTTTAATTAGGCCCTTTTGATCCTTCCAGGAAGATAAATCCCAGTCCTGCACTTGCTATCCCCTTCTCCCCCATTATCACATCAAATAGATTATCTGCATTTGGACGTTCTGCATTGTAAAAAGCCCAATTGAATCATAATACAGGTTTGTGTAACCCAGTTTCCCATTTCCCGCCCCGTGACCAGCCAAATATGCCTGGAAAATTCACAGTCCTGTCTCAGCAACCAGTATTCAGTGACATACTGCTCCTCAGGTTCCATTTAGGCATTGTGACTAATCATTATTGGTAGGCCTTTCCTCCCTAACATTCTCTAATTCCTTATTCATCTTGCCAGGTGGTATATGGGTCTATGTGCTTTGAGGATGAAAATGTGGAATGCATATAAGTGTGCCATATGTTGCTTTTCATGATGCTAACTAACTGGGATCTCTTTACACGGTTGCTGGATATTAGTGATTTTTTTGCTCTTATAGTTGCCTCTTGTATATTTAAGGATAACGGCCAACATAGAAACTTGTTTTAGTATACAAATGTATTTTTAATTTCGAGGGAGGTAGGAATAAAATGGATATTTATTTTCAGCAACGTAATGCAATATTTGTATATACTTCACTCAGTTTTTGTGTTGGTATTAGTAAAACAAGCTGAACTATGAAAACAATAAAAACAAAATAAAATAGCAATATGTGAACTGGATAGCAATAATCCATTCTTTTTATTTTTTATGCTTTTTACCTTATGCGGTACTGCTCTCTGATTTTAAAAAATGCACACAAATTTTGAAAATTTGAGACTCACAAAGTTGAATATTAATGGATGTAGAGACTAGTTTAGTCATTCAGATTTGTTTTATAAATGTATAAATTTAAATATAATTATTTTATGTAACATTTATAAATTTACTTGCTTAGTATCAACGAACAAACAAACAAACAGACAGTGGGAAGTCTGAGAATAGGTGAGCCAGTAGGATATATCATGTGGGGATATCAAGTGTGGGAGCTGAGGGGAAGGAGGGAAAGGAAATCACGGATAAAATAGGAAATGGGTAGGTGAAACAGTAGGACAAGTCACGCTGGGAGCTGCAGGAGAAAGAGAAGGGGTAGCATGCATCAGCCTTGCCATACTTACATATCTGGATTCCAAAACTGGAAAGACCAAAATGTTCTGAGATTTGGTTTGTCCTGCAGTGACTAACCCAAAAGGAATGTGCCTGCTCTTCCAGAATGCATTGGTTTGTTACAGAGTTCAAAGCAAAACATTTTCTTAATTTCATGTACACCCCAACCTATCTATATAATTGGCTTTTTTACATAATTCGATAATTAACTAGCAGTACAGATGATTAGGGGACTGGAGGCTAAAACATATAAGGAACGGTTGCTGGAATTGGGTATGTCTAGTTTAATGAAGAGAAGGACGAGGGGGGACACGGTAGCAGGGGCTGCCACAAAGAAGAGGGGGTCAAGCTATTTCTCCAAAGCACCTGAGGGCAGGACAAGAAGCAACGGGTGGAAACTAACCAAAGAGAAAAACAACCTAGAACTAAGGAGAAACTTCCTGACAGTTAGAACAATTAACCAATGGAACAACCTGCCTCCAGAAGCGGTGAATGCTCCAACACTGGAAGTTTTTAAGAAGAGACTGGACAGCCATTTGTCTGAAATGGTGTAGGGTTGGACTCGATGACCTCCAAGGTCCCTTCCAACTTTATTATTATTATTTTTATTATTACATGTTTGGAAATTTGTAATATATGGGATGGTCATCTGGAAGAGCTTGATTTTTATTCCAAGAATGAAGAATGGATACTTACTCCCTGTAGGAATTTCTACTTTTTCCAAGAGTAATTTCACAAATGAAGGCGAACATACATGTCCCAGAATAATGTTGCAGGATCCAATCTGAGTCACCAGGACCAGAGGTTTTTTCTTCCAAGTTTTTGAACTCATGCTGGAGCCCATCTTCAGGAAACTTCTTTCTAGAGAGTGTGTGCTGTTCTGTGTGGTATTTATAGTGCCTGTAGTAAGTAGCTTTTTAGATATTGATTGGAGTGTGTTGATGGCTGGCTTTTAAGTCATTAACTGTCATTTGCTTGTGCTGCCCACTCCTCACCTTCTAAGTACTTGATAGGCCGGTGATATCTTGTGACTTCTTGTGGGTACCCACAATTATTTGTCACAAGTTGTCTGTGCAACATTGTGGGGAGAGAAAGGAAAAAACAAGGTACGAGTCTAATCACATGGCACACCCTGCTATACATCAAAAACATTTCGGAAACTGTAGAATGCAGCTTCCAAGTTCTGCAAGTGGGCATCACACATCTCCCAGAAGGCTACCATATGAGGATAAATTATGCATTGTAAAGATCTCTTGGAGGTGGGAGATACTTCCAATGTAAACTACCGAATCCCCTGCATGGATTGCCCCTGTGACTATGTAGGACAGACAGGGAGAAAGCTAATCACCAGATTGCAAGAACATGAGCGATCAGACAAGGAGACCCAAAATCACTGGTTGCCTCACACTGCAATGAACAAGGACACACATTCAACTTTGCAGCTATTAAGATTGTTGGATGAGCAGGTACAAAAACAGCCGAGGAAATGATTGAAGCCTGGGAAACAGGCCTCAATCAGTCAACAGGTCAGTCAACAGGAGTGCTGATTTACCACCACTCTATCAAGTACTTAGAAGGCAAGGGCTGGGCAGCACAAGCAAATGACTGCTAATGACTTAAAAGCCAGCATCCACACATGCCAATCAACATCTAAAAAGCCACTTACAACAGGCACTATAAATACCACACACAGAACAGCATACACTCTGCTAGAGAGAAGTTCCCTGAATGAGCTCCAGAATGAGTCTGAAAGCTTGGAAGAGAAAACCTTTGCTCCTGGTGATCAACCTAGATTGGATCCTGCAAAGACTAATTTATATAGTGCAATAGGTTAAGTAGTGAATTAGTGAAAGATTCTTCCTTTATTAGTCCAAGGAAAAGTCAGACAGAAAATTTTGAGAAAATATTATGTGGATTGGAGAAGTGCCAAGGAAGCCATAGTTTATTCTTTTGAAGTAGGGATATAACTGGATCCTTCAGTAAAATATAGTGAAAATTGTTAAAGGTCCTTATTAAGGAAAAATTTCTACTGATGAGGTTTTTTTCCAGGAATCTGCCTTTTGAGATATGTGTGTGTATCTGTATATCTGTGTGGTGGGTAGTTATGTATATATAGACAATATGGCAAAATGAAGTTCAACCAGTATGTATAATTAGCTTGAGAACCATAATTATTTTTATAATTATAAGCAGTAGGTTGTCAACTTGTTTTATTGTCTCACCATCTGGGAGCATTTTGCTATCCATCTGTTTTATGTAATTAAGTAATTATCAATATAACCATACAATGGGTGTTATAATTAACAAGAATAATTACTCTATAATGCATAGTAAATTCATATATATAATTAATTTTTGTTTGTTTCTGGCCACCAATTCTGTGTGCTTTATTATTTCTCAGTTCTCAAAGTTGTGAGGTTTTACTATCAGTTTCAGGGATGTTTCTCCTGCTACTTAGACAAAATCTGCCACATCAAACAATATTCTTCTGGCATTCCACATATGAGCTTGCACTTGTGCTGTCATAAGCATTCCACCCAGAAATTACAGGTTAGCTTTGAAATACCTAACGAAAGAGCAATGGACACAAATTTGGAATCACTTTTCTTATTTGTGAATCAGCTCTGAAGGTTCCTCTGAATCTTATAAAAGAAAAGGAAAACTCTTAGTAGAATAACCTACATCATCTTTTATTTGGGTCTACTAGTTCTCATCTGACCTTTTCTGAATTTTATTGATCATGGCGTGCAGAGGGCTTCAGTTCTCCATCATATAAGCAAAGCCAGAAAAGATGCTGAATTTGATTCTTTAATTCGTGAGTTAATTCAGGCTAAACCAATTTGGCAAGACCAGTTTCTTTTAGAAATTCTTTGACAAGTGAGGAATGTGTGTGCCACCACATCCTATAAAATCATTCTTGAGCTAAAGAGCTAAATCTGAAGAGTTCTTCCCTTGCAAGCAAGATTATCTAACTACTAATAGCTAATACTGTACTTCTATAGCAGTGCTGATTTTTTCTCCAATGATGTCACCTGTCAGGGAATCTCCAAGTATGAAAAAAAAAGATGAGGTAACACTCCACAAAGATTATAGGTTCTATTTCCAAACCAATGAAGAATAGCTTAAAGAAAATGCTATACCGATAAAGGATTATCTAGACCTTCTGGAATATCATGCAATTTGGAGCCAAAATCATTGAGGCAGAGAGAAATATATGGCTAAACAAATGGATGGGGGATAATTATTGGCTACCAAAAAAGGAAGCTTGCCAAATGTTTTGAAGAAACCTTAATCAGGGAGGACTTTGAATAAAAGATATCCCTATTAATCACAAAAAGGCAAATGTAGATTGAAACTTGTCCAGCCCTTTTGTTCCAATTAACATATGCCAAAATGCAGTAGTACTTCAGAATTTCAAAAAACACTTCCTTCCATCTGTATGTCTCCATGCAGAAGTAAATTTATTTTAATCAGAATTAAGAAAGAAACAAAGCAAAAGGAAGTAACATTTAAATGCCAATAATTGCTGAAACATTGCTGAAAGAAATCCATTTGAGTACCCAAAGAAACCAAGTTCAAATTTTTGCCATAGTTATGTAGCATGACAG